ATTTTACGCTTGAGATATCAAACATATATATTTAATTCTTACGTTTGTTCAGATAAACTTTAACTCTTTATTATATATATATATATATATATATATATATATATATATATATTAACAATTTAAAATGAATTTCGATAAATCACTTTGGAATTATATTCGTTTTATTCCATTTTCCATGCATATTTTGTCCGAAAGAAAATTATTAAATATTGAAATGATCGAAAAATATAAAATTTTAAGTATTTAATAAAATTTACAAAGCATTTAAAGAGAGATTCAATGTTTTATAATAAAGAAAAAATTAAATATCCTCCTATATCGATAATCTTTTGGAACAATAAAATAAAATTGTCGCGCAAAGATAATAATCAATATTATTGCAATAAATATGCTTCCTATTTATACGATAGCCTATCGATTCTCGTAATATTAAATTGTAAATTTAGCGTGCAAACCAAGCTTTATATTGCTACTATACGACTACCTCATAATATGCAGGTCGGAAACATCTAACAATAAAAGACAATATAATTCAAACATTTTCAGATTATATTTTCCTTGTGTATCCGTAAGCATATTAAAATTCAAATATGACAAAATATCCATTCATTTTATGAATCATTAGTTTCTATAATATTACGAAAATTTGTACTTTAAATAAACGACGTGTTTCCTTATTACGATAGAATTGAAATATGTTAAATAAATAATTATCTAATATACACGTGAAACTTTTAATTCGTTAAAATAAAATCAATCGTTTACGTAATAAACATGTTTACGTAGCAACAAAGAGATCGGTGTTATAATTAATTTTATAAATCTTCAAGAACTCATTGTTTTCATATCTTTTGAAATGACGATGTAACTTTGTTAAGAATTTTCGTTCGTGCAAAAGAAGTTTGTAAAATTATTGCGCTAAGAAGACAAGAGAATACTTCGAGACGAAGTAAAAGTCAAACTTAAATTTATTCTTATCCAATTAATAAACGACGTGACTTTGTAAGTAACTTAGGAAGGGTCTAATGAGACGAGAATTGATAGAATAAAAGAATAAAAGTAATACTGTTAAAAAGATCGATTCGTGATGAAAATTGGTCATGGCTAATTAAAGATTTTTCTTCGAGCTTAAAATTTCTGAATGAAATTAAACGTTTCTAGCGATCAATGTTTTTCGAATTTACTCAAATAAAAAAAGAAAAAAAAAAAAAAAAAAAAAGAGAGAAAGAGGAAGAAAAAATATATAATTATTTTCTTCTTTCGTAAAAAAAAGTATGATAATGTGAACGAGTATTCCTTTCTTTAAAAAATATGTCACGTCCAGCAATATGCGGTCGCTTTAAAGCCGTCAACAAGAGAATGTGCGGTAAAAGGCGTGAAAACTTAATTACGTTCAAAATTGTAAAGCTTCAAGCTGAAACTTTTACTCTCGCGTACCTCGTTACAGGTTTTATAAGTGGGTACAACTGAAGAAAAGGTTTCGCGAAAAAGCGAGTCAAGCTCCATGTATTATATAATAAATAAGCTTTTCATGAATTCCGAGTTACTAAAGAATGGCGAATTGAAGTGCTAATGTAGGTGAACTACTTGGCCTCTTTCCTTTTCTATTTCGATTGATCTTACTTAATTCATAATAATAATATCTGTATCTAATAGACAAATAGTATATTCATTCGACAAGTGTGTTGTGCAGAAATGATTAAAAAAAAAAAAAAAAAAAAAAAAGAAAAGAAAAGAAAAGAAAAGAAAATATTTTTGTACTACTCTTTTTCAAAAGTGATATATCAAAAACTCTCATTGTCACTTAGAGACATGCGTGATATTTCACGATTCTAAGTGTAAAATAAAAAATTTCTATGCTCTGTCGTCTTATAATAGTCTGTCGTTCATTGTCTGGGAAAGTGGAAAAATGTCATTGAGGTATTATCTTTGAATCAAAGAATTTACGAATTTACGAGATGAAACTTTTCTTCGATTTGAAACCTCTTGATCCATAGAAAGCACAATATCCATAGAAAGAGGCATACCATATATCCAGAACACAAACCACAGGATCATAGAACACGGATTACGGAACAAGAAATCCAGACGCAACTGAAATAAACCTTAGACAAAATCCAGACGCAACCAAGAACCAGGGATTAAGGCTTTTGTATTCGTATAATAGAAAGATTTTCATTAGATATTGATTATTTTGTCAATGCTTTTATATATAATACTTTTCATTTTCATTGAAAAAATTATTTCAAATGTTAAAATTAATTTTCTTCATTCATTCTATGCGATTATTATTTTCAATGCGAGCGACTTGCACTCGAGTTTTTTTTTCTTTTTTCGTCTTCTTCCTTTTCTTTTCTTTTTTTTTTTGTCTTCTTTTTTGTTTTTTAATTGAACATTCTCTCTAAATTGAATGCTTTTTCATTATTATAAAATTGTCGCCCCTTTTACTTATTCTCTTTCTTTTTTTTCTTTTTATTAATATTATTAATGGTAGAGATAAGGAAAATATAAAAGTATTGCTTGTGTAAATATGAAAAAATGTGATCTGTAAACGTCGTTGTAACACCTTGTGTTACCGTCCAAGGTAGAAATGAGGTAGAAATGAGATAGAAATGAAATGCACAGTATAGAGTTAATATAGACTTGTCCGTGATATAATAAAGTTTCCAGTTTTCTCTTGAGAATCATTAAAAATGATTAAAATATTCCGTTGGAAATATTTATGATACTTTATCTCCTATGTTTTCAATCTTGATAATAATTATCCTACTTGTCATTTTTATTTCCATGTATTAACAAAATTTTTATCACACTTCATTCGTATTATGTTAAACATAATTGAAATTATTTCATCGTATTTTCGTATCGTTTCAATTACACTTCACAAAACGGATTCTTTTAAATATAAAATATACCTTTTTATATTTATATTCCGTAAATCCATCATACTGCTTGTTATGCTATCTCCACTATTTTCAGTTACCGATCTGTCACGCGTCGACCAATTAAGTTTCTTGATGTAGATTTATCTCTGAGCTTGGTATCCGAGTTTAACCATGAGCATAAATATTAGTCAAATCTAAAATGAAATGAACGATAATTTAATTCTTTTCTTCATCGCGAAAAATGACGGAAACAGATGTGTTCGTTTGATTAAAAACTGACAACTTTGTGCCGACGGTAACTAACGTGTATTGTTATTTAAAAAAAAAAAAAAAAAAAAAAAAAAAATTAATAGAACCGAAGTTTCTTCATATAAAAGAAATTCAAGGGAGCTTCGTAAAAAAAAATTGAAAAAAGAAAAAAGAAAATTCATTGACAAGTCAGAAGAATAATATACGATAATAGAGTAAAGAGAGTATGAAGACATATAAAACAAATCAGTGATCGCCAATCGCCAGTTGCTACTTATTAGCTAATTGCAAATCTCTAATTGCAAATTGCTAATTAACAATTTTTTTGCCTTGACTTATCTTATGTGATTACTATTACTGTAATGTGATTGCTAAATAGTAAAAAAGAGAAGCTCTGCCTAATCTAAAATAAATAATAGTAAAAGTCAAAACTTTGTGCTCTCTTTTAAAGAGCATTAAGAACAATAAAGAAGTGTGAAAATTGTGAAACTCATCTCGACACCTTACCAAGGCCGTTTGGTTACGTTGAAACATTCCTCTAACTCTTATGTTCGTTCTTTATCTGTTAGACACTTTGAACTTTCGAGTTATCTCATGAGAGAGAAAAGCCGTTCTTCTTTTCGCGTAATACTCTGAAATTATTTCGCCTTTCTCTCTCTCTCTCTCTCTCTCTCTCTCTCTCTCTCTCTCTCTCTCTCTCTCTCGCTTTTTCTCATTTTCTCGTCTCACCTTCGTATTCTGTGAGAAAATGAAGAAACGTCACCGAACGTGACTGAAAAATGAAATCTTCGCTTCGATACCTCGACAACTTTTAAAAGATTCTCCTTATTTCTTTTTCTTTTCTCTTTCTCTTTTTTCTCTCTTTTCCTCTCTTTTCCTTTATTTTTCCTTCTCTCTTTCCATTTCTCTCTTCTCTCTCTCTCTCTCTCTCTCTCTCTCTCTCTCTCTCTCTCTCTCTCTCATTCCCCCTTTGAAATTCATATGTCCATTGTAATTTATCAGAACTCACGTCCCATGCAATACATAAATTTTTGGCTCTAGAGTCTGTAACGCGTCTGATAAACGACGAGAATTTTTCATATGACAAAAAGAGAAGTCATTCCTATAAGATTTGCTACGAGTTTCTTCAAGTATACTTTTTAAGATACGCTCTAGGAAAAGTTGAAACTGAAAGAAAAATGGATTTTCAAATATTTGAATAGAAGAAGCGAGAAAGATTTTATTGTCAATGCGAAAGTATCGGATTTAAAGTTAACACTTTATCATTGTAATTTATTCAACGTCAGATTATCAGACTCTTTTGTTATACGTCGTTATATGCTTTGTTTCCATCGTTTATATTATATATAATGACGACGTAAACATTATTTTATAGTCGTTTAGATTAAATTTAATATCGATTCAGAGTCATTTGAATTTATTTCGAAATTTATTGTATAAAAAATATTAAGATATTACAAATGAAATATTGAAATAATATGTCAAAAGGGAATAATAATATCATAGATTTAATATCGAAAATTATTCATTTTTATGAAATATTTATTATATATCATGTCGTTACATATTATTAAGATAAACATATTAATTTTAATATAATATATTTTTATATAATATAAGCAGTAATTTTTTATTATTCGTAATTTATTTTATCAACGATAAAGTATAACGAATAATACAAAAAGTCACTTTTCAATTGACATTATACACTTTGACTAATCAATATACATGATACATTCTGTATGTAAATATTGTTAAATTCTTAAAATCCTACGATATTTATGTTGTATATTATTGTCCTTACAACGATGACCTTTCGTCTTGAAATCGTTTAAGAGCTACGAGACGACGCAGTCGTTCGGTAGATTCTGTTGAGACATGTTCGTAAATCGATTTGTTTCGAAAGTTTCCGACGTGAAACTTCCTTGAAAAAGTTATCCTGGCCCTTTGGTTGGACCTTGTCATCGATACTACACTGCTTTAAAAGTTCTACGAGCGTAAACTTTAATACAAAATTAGGTTAGCTCCATCGACAAGACTAATTGTAAGTTTATCTAATTACCAAGGAAATAATTAGCAGCACGTTATCTCGACATATTATTCAATACTTTTCATTTGATATCTCAATTTCTGATGTAATTGTTTAATTATTAAGTGATCATTATATAGCTAATGGCTATAGAATATCTTCAATGGAAATTTAACACAGGTATAATATAATTTGAATTATCGAAGAGATATTTATAATAGATATACTTACGTCATTATTACGTAATTATTTAAGACATTTCTCATTCATTAATTATAATAATCAATTTAAATCTTTAATCAAGGATCAAATTATAAATTAATTAATATCATTATTTCATGTTAAGTAAATACTTTTTATTCAGAATTACAGACGTATTCATAAACGTAATAGAATCACTAGTGCACGATGAATATTATTGTGAATTAATACCAGATAAAAGGTATAAAAAAAAAAATTGCTCTTTTTTTTTCCTTTTTTTTTTGTTTTCTTTTTCTTTTTCTTTTTCTTTTGTCCGATTATTCGTTCCCGTGTTTCATAAATATCGTGATTAAAGAACATAGAATGTGAATATCCTAAAATAAAATACTTTATCTTCGTTCTTTCTTCTTTTCTATCTTTCTTTTCGTTCTCATTTTCGTACAATAATGAGAGTATTAAACAAGCAATTTTATTAAAACAAACCCATTGGTCGAACAAAGTTTATCTCGGGAGATAAGAGGAAAAGGGAGATGAGAGAAAATGAGAGCACCTTCCGTAATATTGCTCGATATCTTTTTACCCATACATCCTCGTTTTCTTTCATGTACATGCTCTCGCTCGACCGCTTTAATCTCCTCGTCACTTCCGCGTCAGCATTTGCTATCACCATCTACCTCAACGGAATTGCATGACAACCGCTGTGGCAGAACATCTAAATAGTGTGACATCCTTGTGAATTCCTTAAACCCACCTGAGCCTTTAAAGCGAACTTTGTAATCATGCCTGTTACATCATATTTAAGTATCGTGTTCATAAACTTTCGATGAAAAAAAAAAAAAAAAAAAAAAAAAAGAAAAAAAAATATCGACTCCATTAAAAATTTCTTATTTATTCATTATACCTATCTACTCTTTTTCTTCTTCTTCTTCTTCTTCTTCTTCTTTTTCTTTTTTTATCTCCCATTTTAATTTCATTAATATTGTATTATTAGATTGGATAATAGATAAGGTCATTTTCATTATTTAATATTTTAATAAACAATGGTTTTAATATTTATGATCTTTTTAATTAAAAATTCAAATATGATTTGGTTTATAATATTTTAGATTCTTTTATATTTAGATAAGTAATGTTGGAATTTTCATTGAAAAATATCTTAATGGATAATTTAAAATATAAAATAATTTCAATATTGAAAATATCAAACAATAGGTGAAATCATTGGTTAGATAATGATTGAATTAAGATAGTGAAAAAAAAAAAATTCTCTCAATTAGAGATTATAAAGATATATCGAAAATAAAAAACGATAAAAGGAAACTGGATATGTCGATCCTAAAATAGTTCTGATTAGAAAGGTATAATACTGAATTGGCGATTAATCCCTTAGTCCCATAATCCTTTAAAAGCCACCCTCGTTTAACTCTTTAACTTTGTTGACTCGTTTAAACGAATTGATCGAGGAAAAAAAAAATAAAAGGAAAAAAACGTCGAGTCTCTTTATCTTTTTAAAAGAGTTTTCAATGTATTCGAAATTACATGCTTTGATCGTCTTTCGTAAATTATTTTAAATCGCTTATATCACTTTTAATATTATTTCGATCGCTTTTCATCTTTTCATTCTTTATTTATTAAAAATCATAGATTATAATAATTCTTATGAAACTTTTAACGTCACGTATTTTCTTAAAAGAATATAATAATTCGTTTACGATTCGTTGACACATTTGACGAAATATGTATTTTACAACAGCTATTCGATGTATAATAAAAATAAAAAGAGAAAATGTTAGAACATAAAAGACCATTCGCACGGATTTCCTTTATCATCGAGTTTTAACGACTTTAATAGTAGAAATATTACAACGTTTCTGTCTCTGTGATGTTTCTTAGATCGTCGCCAGAGAAGTAATAAATGCTGAAAGAAAGCGAAACGACGCGACGTGACGTTCATTTATCAAGACGTTTTTATCTACACGCTAATCGCATGCCTTAAGGGTCGAGAAAAAAGAAAAAAAAGGGACAAGAGGTACGGAAGGGTAGTAAGTAAGAATTAAATCCTTTCGCGTTAAGTTATTCAAGACAAGTTGTGAACTGTCCGTGTAGCATGTTATTTTTGAACTCGTTAAAAACAAAAGAAAAGAAAAGAAGAAAGAAAAAAGGAAAAAAAAATGGGAAAGAAAGAGAAGAAAAAATAAAAAAAAAAAAAAAAAAGGAAGAGGGAAAAGTGTTGCTAAAGAAAAATCGAGATACAAGAAATTTTCTTGGCAAATTCAGCTTTAAGCTTCGCCATTAATGACCTGTTCGCTCTGTTACTCAGAAATAATTACAGTTTACGCTTCTACAACTTTCATTCGGATAATTCATATATTTACAACGTAGGAATAAGAAACTTTTACTCGATAGTTATAAAACGAAGATCATAATCGACGATAACGTATATAATAGAGAGTAATAATTTAATAGGAAAAGCAAATGACTTGGAAAAGGAGTACAATAATTAATTACTGAATAAAACGGATTATTAAACGCTTATATAAAATGAAAACGAATTATTATAAAAAGCATATATTAAAATAGATTATGATGTAATCGATGATTCGTAAATTTTTTTCTTTCTCTTATATAATTATTAATTTATTTTGCTTAATCATAAATTTCTAATTTTGTAAATCTGAATCGTTTTTTGTTGTTTTAATACGAGAGCATTTTGAAATATTCGCGGCTTTTCTCTTTCTCTCTCTATTTTTTTTTCTTTTTTTTTTTTTTTTTTTTGTTTAATGTACAAATTTCATCCCATAAGTAAAATACACACATATACACATTTTGAAGTAAAAAAAAGAAAAAAGCCTCGAACTATTCCGATGGTTCTAGTATTTTCAAATTGTCATAGCTTGTAACTTTCATCGAAAAGAAAGAATAAAAAAAATAAAAAAAAAAAAAAAGAAAAAAATGATTGAAAGGAAAGTACAATGATGTGCACTTAACACCGTTTTTAAAGCGTACCATTTAATGGCATTTGTCGATTTTCTCATTGGTAAAGAAAAGAAAAAAGCTATTCGAAAAATTTGAAATGGCTATTGGGAGAGAAAAAAAAAAAGAATCTGGATTGAAACTTTTGGTTTTATTCGTATTTATAGAAAGAACTTTTCTTTCGTACAATCTTCAATATTGTAGTTTTTCATTGATTTATTCTATCTATGAAATTTCTATTGTTTACTCTTTGTTTATTGACTTATTTCTTTCTTTCTTTCTTCCTTCCTTCTTTCTTTTTTTTTTTTTCTAACTTGTTCCATGTTCTATCGATTTTCTCTTTTTTTGTTATCCGTTTCGTATACCCTTATCACATATAAAGGCAGCCAAGCGTGAAGTGTGTGTCTTCCATATCCCATTCGGCTTCGATCGTTTCTTATAGAACTTTGTGTTACCAAGAAAATTCTTACTTTCTTCTTATTGAATTTTTAACACGAAAAAAGTTCGAGAGCTTACATCTATAATGCGCTCTTCAGCTTATAAATTTTGTTCGAAGGCCTGTATCGATAATGTGCTCTACGGTTTATTATAAATTTTGAGATGTCCACTTTTGTATTATAAAACGGCATTTTTTATTTCTCATTATTTCTCATAGAATATTCTTTTTAAATATTTTATTTAATTAAAATTATACATACGATAATTTACACATCGATTGTCTCCTTTAAATCGACGTTCCAATTCTTTATATTGATCTTCTTCTACAAATAATCAAAGATATAAAAATGTAATAGAAAAAAGTGAGATAAGCAATGAATTTTATTTACTTTATGAAAAGTTTATTTGAGGCAATAATGGGCATAGGAAAAAAAGAAAAATATCTGCAGTTATCGAGAAAGAAACGTTTATCGTTTCAAAAGATTATCCACGATTTTTCATCTATCTTTTACTCTCTCTCTCTTTCTCTCTCTATCTCTTTCTATCTCACTCACTCCCACTCTCTATTTCTGATGTTGGTTAAACGAACTAAGATAAACTTAGGCTTGTTTAATCTCACAAATCATTTAAAACGATAATACTTTAGACAAATTGTACGAGAAACTCGACAAAGAAAGTATAATAGTTAGTGATAAATGTCGGACATATGTCAATAAAGTTCATTGGCTAAGTCGCTTTATGGTGAGCTATTATTTTGCTCGTTATCAGTTTTATGTAAGTAAATGGCGTGACTCTTTATTAATGACCTTAGCTTCAACGATGTTAAGGTACGTGACGATGAACGAGTGGATAAGCTCTTTTCTAACTTATAATACATTGTTTCTTAGTCTTATATTTATTTAACCTCTATAATAAGAAAATATTTCATTTAACCGTAAGAAAATGATTTTTATACAATTAAGAATTTTTTTAATCAAGTATATAAGGATTTGCGTTGTACGTGTTTACGTTATTACGTTTGTCACGACAAAAAATAAAGACAATCCATAAATTTCGTAAATTTTTTAAATAAAAAAATAAAAAAAAAAAAAAAAGAAAGAGAGAAAAATACGAAATAGGAAGGAAGTGTATATATTATTCAAAAAATTTTCTACAAGAAAAATAGTTTCCAATCTGGCATATAGCGAACTACGTACTCTTAGTAAGGAAAGCATTTTCCAAATGCTGATTGCATCTAAAAACGTGAACCTCTTTATTCATACGTTCTTATTGCAAAGCTTACCCAAGCGCGGATTCGCGAACATGAAAGAAGATGGAAAGAGAGAAAGAAATAAAGAAAAAGTGAGAAGAATGAGAGAAGAAAGAGAGATATAAAAAAAAAGAAAAAAAAAAGAAAAGAAAAAACGGGAAAAGGCAAAAGGATGCATTCTGTGACTTCTTCGTTCTTCTTACCACGCTATTCCCTTTTCAACTTTATCTCTAGCAGGGAGAAATATTTTTCGGGAAAATATATTCATGCACGAGAACGAGAACACGGACGGAGCAACAAGTAAAGCCCCTTCTTCATCGTAGAATAGTTTTACGGATTCTTATGATTTTATGATAGAACATTTTTTCTTTTTTTTTCTTTTTTTTTTTTTTTTTTTTTTGTTTTTTGTTTTATAAAATAGATAAAATAATAATGTACTAAAGCGAAAAGTATCTTACGTATAGCTGTATTATTGAATTATATTATTTATCTTGTATATTTAGCGAATAATTATTTTATTCGTATTTTAATTTTTTTTTCTTAAGAAAAACTTATTAAAATGAAACTTTCAATAATTTTCGAAAGAAATTTTTTTTTACAATTTGACAATTCATTTCGTTATTTCTATTGTCACGTGTTAAATATAAAATTAAGAATGAAATAGAATTTAATATATTTGTCGTTTTAAACATAATGAAAAATATTACGATATAATGTTGTAATGGAAAATGTAGAAAATTAGATAAAAAGGATTAGGTGTGCAAATGAAATTGAAAAAAATACCAAATGTAAAAACTGAAAGTGCCTTTTGTGAAATATCTTCAATGTCGTATTTGTATTTATGAATATACGTAGATTCATGTTAATTAATTAGAGTAGTACTTTCGTTTGTCAATGAGCACGAAGGAATGAATTATTTTTTCTTTTTTATCTTCATTCAAACAAAGAACTAACAAAGCGTGAAATTTAGGTCAAGTGTAACTTTCTTCTTTCATTTATTATTTGTTACGATTGATAGTATTGAATAAGTAAAAATATTATTTGTAAGAGTTTCTTCAAAATGTTTCTTCAAACATTTAACATAATTCTCGTACATACATATTTACTATTTAAATATACGTTTATTTTATTACATCTGTTAATTCGTTTAATGTATAAATGGATATTCATTAAACTGAAAA